AAATTTGACCTCATTGTACATGAGAGAGTTCACACAGGAGAAAGGCCATATGAGTGTAGTGAATGTGGAAAATCCTTTACCTGTAAATCCTACCTCATCGCACACTGGAAAGTTCATACTGGTGCAAGGCCTTATGAATGTGGGGAATGTGGGAAATCATTTACCCATAGCTCTACACTCCTTCAACACCAGAGAGTTCACACTGGAGAAAGGCCTTATGAGTGCAGTGAATGTGGGAAATTTTTTAGCCAGAGCTCCAGTCTCATTAGACATAGGAGAAGTCACACCGGAGAAAGGCCTTATAAGTGCAGTGAGTGTTGGAAATCCTTTAGTAACCGCTCTAGCCTCGTTAAACACCAAAGAGTTCACACTGGAGAAAGGCCTTATGAGTGCAGTGAATGTGGAAAATCCTTCAGCCAGAGCTCTAACCTCAGTAATCACCAGCGAGTTCACAGTGGGGAAAAGCCTTATGAGTGTAGTGACTGTGGAAAATCTTTTACCTTCAACTCCAACCTCCTAAAACATCAGCATGTTCACAAGGGGTAAAGGTTAGGTAACACACATCGGGCTGTTATGGACTGAGAAGTGTCCCTGCAAAATTCATAGATGTAAATAAATAAATAAATATGTATTTTCAATAACCATGCTTTATATCCAGTATATGTTATCTGAATTTTGTTTTATACAAATAAATTTATATGTTTACATACTACTTTGTCTCTCTTATGTCCACACATAAAACCAAATGGTTTCTTTTTAAAAAAAATTCTTTGTTTTTAAATGGACAAATTATAATTGTCCATGTTCCTGGAGTACCTAGTGATGTTTTTTTGATACCTATAATTTAGAGTGATCAGAGTAATTAGCACGTCCATCATCTCAAACATTCGTCTTTCCTTTATATTGGGAACATTCAGTCTCAATTGCCATTCTCCCAACAACCTGAAATTATATATTATTAACTTTAGTTCTCCTGTAGTGGTATAGAACACTAGAACTTACTCCTCTTGTCTAGTTGTAATTTTGTAGACTTTAACCAATCTTTGTCTATTCCTGCCTACCCACTACCCTTCCCAGCCTTTAGTATCCTCTGTTCTACTTTTTACTTCTAAGAGATCAACTTTTGTTTTGTGGGGGTGGGGGACAGTCTTCCCCTGTCTCCCAGGCTTTTTTTTTTTTTTTTTTTTGAGACGGAGTTTTGCCCTTTTTGCCCAGGCTGGAGTGCAATGGCACGATCTCGGCTCACCGCAATTTCTGCCTCCTGGGTCCAAATGATTCTCCTGCCTCAGCCTCCCGAGTAGCTGGGATTACAGGCATGTGCCACCACCCTGGCTAATTTTGTATTTTTAGTAGAGACATGGTTTCTCCATGTTGGTCAGGCTGGTCTTGGACTCCCGACCTCAGGTGATCCACCCGCCTCGACCTCCCAAAGTACTGGGATTACAGGCGTGAGCCACTGCACGTGGCTTTTTCTTTTTTTTTTTTAAAGCTTCCACATACAAGTGGGAATGTGCATGTTTATGTTCCTGGCTTATTTCTCTTAAATAGTGTCCTCCATTTCCATCCATGTTGCCTCAGGTGACAGGATTTCATTCTGCTCTTTGAATAGTATTCCTTTGTGTGTATAAACCACATTTTCTTTATCCATTTATCTGTTGTTGGACATCTAGGTTGATTCCATATTTTGGCTATTGTGAATAGTGCTGCAGTAAACAGGGTGTCGATGTATCTCCAATGTGATGATTTTCTTTCCTTTGGATAAAGTCCCAGTAGGGGGATTGCTGGATGATACGGTAGTTGTATTTGTAGTTTTTTTGTGTGTTCTTTTGTTTTTTGAGACGGAGTCTCTGTTGTCCAGGCTAGAGTGCAGTGGTGTGATCTCGGCTCACTGCAACCTCTGCCTCCCGGGTTCAAGCGATTCTCCTGCCTCAGCCTCCTGAGTAACTGGGATTATAGCCGTGTGCCACCACGCCCAGCTAATTTTTGTATTTTTAGAAGAGACAGGGTTTCACCATGTTGGTCAGGCTGGTCTTGAACTCCTGACCTCGTGATCCGCCTGCCTCAGCCTCCCAAAGTACTGAGATTACAGGCGTGAGCCACCATGCCCGGCATATTTACAGTTTTTAGAGGGACCTCAATACTGTTTTCCATAGTGGCTGTACTAGTTTGCATTTGCACCACCAGTGTATGAGTTCCCTTTTCTTGTATTTTGTTGGTTTTTTTTTTTGAGACAGAGTTTCACTCTCGTCACCCAGGCTGGAGTGCAATGGCACGATCTTGGCTCACCGCAACCTCCGCCTCCCAGGTTCAAGCAATTCTCTTGCCTTAGCCTCCTGAGTAGCTGGGATTACAGGCCTGCGCCACTACACTCGGCTAATTTTGTAGTTTTAGTAGAAATGGGGTTTCTCCATGTTGATCAGGCTGGTCTCGAACTCCTGACCTCAGGTGATCCGCCTGCCTCAGTCTCCCAAAGTGCTGGGATTACAGGCATGAGCCACTACGCCCAGGCTTTTTTTTTTTTTCTAGAGACAGGGTCTTGCTCTGTTGCCCACGCTGGAGTGCAGTGACGTGATCTTGGCTCACTACAACCTCCACCTCCTGGGTTCAAGCAATTCTCCTGCCTCAGTCTGCTGAGTAGCTGGGATTATAGGCGCACACCACCTCGCCTGGCTAATTTTTGCATTTTTAGTAGAGACAGGGTTTCACCACGTTGGTCTCGAACTCCTGACCTCGTGATCCACCCAGCTCAGCCTTCCAAAGTGCTGGGATTACAGGTGTGAGCCACCACTCCCAACCATGAGTTCCCTTTTCTCTGCATCCTTGCCAGCATGTTTTTGTCTTTTGATGATAATTATCCTAAACGGGAAGAGGTGATACCTCATTGCGGTTTTGATTTGCATTTCCCAGATAGTGATGAGTATATTTTAATATATTTGTTGACCATTTGTATGTTGTCCTATGAAAAATGCTTATTCAAGTCATTTGACATTTTTAAATTGGATTGTTTGAGGGTTCCTTTGCTGTTGAAATATTTCAGTTGTTTGTGTATTGTATCTGGCTTTATTTATTTATTTATTTATTTATTTATTTATTTATTTATTTTGAGATGGAGTTGCTCTGTTGTCCATGCCGGAGTGCAGTGGCACGACTTCAGCTCACTGCAACTTCTGCCTCCCGGGTTCAAGCAATTCTCCTGCCTCAGCCTCCTGAGTAGCTCAGATTACAGGTGTGCACCACCACACCCAGCTAATTTTTGTATTTTTAGTAGAGACGGGTTTTTGCCATGTTAGTTAGGCTGGTCTCAAACTCCTGACCTCAAGTGATGTGACCACCTTGGGCTCCCAAAGTGCTGGGATTATAGGTATGGCCACTGCATCTGGCCTCTTTCTTGATTCTTGACATTTTCCTTACACTGTCACTGAGTGGGTTCTACATCAGAAAAAGATGAATAGGCCAGCTGTAGTGGCTGAATCCTATAATGCCAGCATTTAGGGAGGCCGAGGTGGGAGGATTGCTTGAACTCAGGAGTTTGATACCAGCCTGGGCAACATGGCAAAACTGCATCTCTACAGAAAATACAAAAATTAGCCGGGTGTAGTGTTGCACGCCTATAGTCCCAATTACTCCTGAAGGCTGAGATGGGAGGATCACTTGAGCCTGAGAGGTTGAGACTGCAGTGAGCCTTAATCGTGCCACTGCACTTCAGCCTCGGCAACAGAGTGAGACGCTGTCTCAAAAAAGGAAAAAAAAAAGAAAAGAATGTGGAGATAAGCAGATTTCAAATGTGAAGTGAAAAGCTTTTCATTGTTCAAACCATATTGCTAAGTGAGAAAAGCAAAGTACAGATATGTATAGAATCTATGAGTTTTTTTCCTATAAGATGAAAAACCTATAATATAATTGACACACACTGAATAATGAGCAAAGGGAGACACAATTCTATGAGGATAATACTATACTGCAAATTTCACCTTCTATTTTTACTTATTCATTAAATTACTTATTTAGAGACAGGATCTTGCTCTGCTGCCCAGACTGGCCTCAAACTCCTGTGCTAAAGTGATTCTCCCTCTAAGCCTCCCAAGTAGGTGGGTGAACAGGCACACTTTTTCTCCACCTTGGTATTGTTCAATGTTTTTAATAAAGAAAAAGAATCTCATTTTAATGACAAAACCAACAAGGAGACCATTTTTAATCACATGCTGACCTTAATTCCATGTCTTCTTAGACATCACTGTTAAAACTTCTGGGCCAGGTGAGGTGGCTCACGCCTGTAGTCCCAGCACTTTGGGATGCCGCCTCTGGTGGATCACCTGAGGTGAGGAGTTTGTGACCAGCCTGGCCAAAATGGTGAAACCTCGTCTCTACTAAAAATACAAAAATTAGCCGGGTGTGGTGGCAGGCACCTGTAATCCCAGCTACTTGGGAGGCTGAGGCAGGAGAATGAATTGCTTGACCCAGGAGGAGAAGGAGGTTGCAGTGAGCCAAAACTGCGCCATTGTACTCCAGCCTGGGCAACGAGAGAAACTCTATATAAAAAAAAAAACAACCCTGTAAAGTCAGCTGGTAGTGGTAACTTACACCTGTAATGTCAACACTTTGGGAGGCCGAGGCAGGGAGATCAGAGATCAGGAGTTTGAGACCAGCCTGGCCAACATGGTGAAACCTTGCCTCTACGAAAAATACAAAAATTAGCTGGGCATGGTGGCAGGCGTCTGTTATCCCAGCTACTCGGGAGGCTGAGGCAAGATAATCGCTTGAACCCAGGAGGTGGAGGCTGCAGTGAGCCGAGTGAGCCGAGATTGTGCCACTCGAGCCTGGGCAACAAGAACAAAACTCTGTCTCATAAATAAATAAATAAATAAATAAATAAATAAATAAATAAATAAGCTGGGCACAGTGGCGTTGTGCCTGTAATCCCAGCTACTCCGGAAGCTGAGGCAGGAGAATCGCTTGAACCCAGAAGGCGGAGGTTGCAGTGAACCGACATGGCGCCACCGCACTCCAACCTGGGACAGAACGAGACTTTGTCTCAAAAAATAAAAAAAAGAAAAAGAAAAACTTTTGTGAAGTGTAAATTTTTGTCACCATCCACTAATATTTCAATAGAGCTATTTCTGTCATCGCATTTATTAGATAGTCGTTGGTAATAAGTTTCTGTAACTGGCATTTCACCTCTTTCTGGTGTCATATTAGTTCCTCATGCAGAACACTCCCCGCTGTCACAAGAGAAACAAATGATAATCACTTCCCAGGAAAGATACAAGCATAATTTAACATACGCCTAATGTCTCCAGGTGGAGATCATCACCGCCATTGCCAATACCAAACTGGGATTTCTCTCATTGTTCTTTACCTGAGACTGACTTCAAGTTCCTAAAATGGGTTGAAAATATAAGTTAGAATACCAAGTAAGGGACATTACCTGAATAGTGTTTTGCTCAATGAATTGGACACGATAACTGACTATATAAGCGGGAGAGTTATTTTTCCGTGGGAACGACTGATTCACCTTTGTACTCTTGCTTTAGCCTCTCCTCTATCTTCCTTGGCATGGTCCTATCTGGATTAGTTCTCTTTTGTTCCTGGCAGACTGAAAAACCAACTCTAATGCCTCAGAGTGAGGCGGGAGAATAGGGAATTAGGGGAACCAAGGATGAAGGCATAAGCAAAAGAACAGCAGGTGCAGCTAGTTCTAGGCAAGATGAGGTAGCACACAGGCCACATCCTCACTCCTGTGATAACAAGACAGAAGTCTCCACTTTAGCCTGATTGGTTGTGCACCAATCCTTCATAGGCTTGGAAGCCTTTAAAGAGCTCTTGGGATACTATAAAATTCTAGCTTCTTATTAATGGCAAAAACCGCAATTACTTTTGCAGCAACCTAATAAAACCCTAAAAAACATTGTAATCGGGGCTCTTGAGCCCCTTGGTCGCCTGTTCCCACACCTGCATTCCACTTCTGTGGAGTGTACTTTCACCTCACTAAATCGCTTTCATTGGTTCGTTCTTTCGTTGCTTTTTTTTGTGCGTTTTGTTCACTTCTTTGTTCAATGCACCAACAACCTGGACAATTCACGGTCAAGATTTTCCATCCAGTAACAAGAGTGCATTCATGTGAATTATAACACGGTAATGTTTATCAGTCTCTGCTTCCAGTGCAGGCATTTTGTGTCTAAACGATTGTATAAAGTGATACACGAATTTGGATTTGTAGCCTTTGGGAGCATTCACAATATTTTTAGCTCCTGGGAGCTTAAATTTCTAAAAATGTGAATTAATATCTTTGCAAACACTTCGGTGGTCAGTTACAAACAAGGATTCCCCAGGAATCTCAATATAGCCTCTAAGGAGGGGCGAGACCATCCTCTGCCCTAAAAGGATGCGCGCTTTAATGAGCCCGCTGAGGTGGAGCTGGGACTTCTCTGCAGAAGCGCCTTTGGGAAGCGGCAGCTTTACTACCTTGGAATCTGGGGAACTACATTACCCAGAAAGCTTTACATTGAATGACAGCACTACAGAACCAGTAAGGGCTCAGAATAAAGGCGTTTCTGTGTGCGCACGTAACGTACTGGCGGGATTCTCAGCGTTCACTGGTAGCGGCCATTTTGGTTAATGTTGGGGGTGTGTGTGCGGTTTGTGAGGTGAGAGGCGCTGGAGCTGTGGGTCCGAACCGCAGTGTTTGAATCCAGAAGTTGGAGAAGAGTCCTTCTCGCAGCACAGAGGCGGATCGCAGGCCCCGTAACGGCGCCCGCCTCTGCCGGCCGTGCTTTCCCCACGTACTCGGATGGCGGCGGCCGCACTGAGGCTCCCGGCTCAGGTAATTGTGCCTTCCCTGCCCTCAGGTCACCTCATCCTAACCTGAGTCCTAAAGCAGCGAGGGAGCGGCGACTGTTCACAGGTCTGCAGCCCGGACCCGGCGTCGGGATACTGAGGCGTTCGCGGGAGAGGTCCCTGTTTCTGACACCTATGGGAAGCGGTGGGGAGAGCGACAGGCACAGGGACCGGCAATGGCCTGGAGTTGAACGGACCCGGGAGGATGGAACCGGGGGTCCACAGGCGCCCGTAGGGAACAATATGTGAGGCGAAGCTTCTCCTGGAAGAGCAGGCTGGGTGCTGTGTATTCACTGTGAAGACGCTAGAAGCCATGGAGAGTTTCGAAGAAAGGAGGGATGCGATCCAAGTCCAGGCTTTTAGTGTTTCCCAAAGGCCAAAGGAAGAACATAGTAGAGGGAATGAGGACCTTGGGGTTCTGGGAGGTTGACTCCTTTGTTGATAGGTCACATAGGTGGTAGAGATGATATTTTGCACTGAGACACGCAGGTCAGACAACCACTCCGAGGTCACCTGGCTCCAGCGATAAGAACAGGTTCAAGGAGACTTGAGCTTATCAGATCCCCTTTGTAATGTCTGCCTTCCCCTCAGACACTCCTGGCTGCAGAAGCACTTAAAGAACCCACTGAGGGGGCCAGGCGAGGTGGCTCACACCTGTAATCCCAGCACTTTGGGAGGCCCAGGCGGGCGGATCACCTGAGGTCGGGAGTTCGAGACCAACCTGACCAACATAGAGAAACCCCGTCTCTAACAAAAATACAAAAGTAGCCGGGCGTGGTGGCGCATGCCTGTAATGCCAGCTACTGGGAGGCAGAGGCAGGAGAATTGCTTGAACTCGGGAGGCAGAGGTTGCGGTGAGCCATTGCACTCCAGCCTGGGCAACAAGACGAAACTCTGGCAAAAAAAAAAAAAAACCAAAAAAACAAAAAAAACCTACAGAGGGAACTGGAGGGTGTTCCATTCCCTCACTGGCCTTATTCTCCATTCACGTGTTCTCTAGCTTGTGATATCCTGGAATACGGCCATGGATATCTAAAGCCACACCTGGTTCTGTGGGGGTGTGGAGCCATTCAAGAAAGCTTTCACAGAATGACTTGGGAACTGCATTGCTATTGGGAACCATGAGAATTCTGTGGTAATATTGGATCCTGTTTGAATTTGCCAAGCATACTCTGAATTCTGTCAGCCACATTGTGGCATAAGGTCAAAAATGAAAGCCCAATGTGATGGGCCACCTTGATGTGTGGTGATACTGTATGACCTCAGATGGCCTGAGGGCAAACCCCCTTCCCACTCTGTTCTATTGGATAATATATCCTGGCCTAACAACCCTTTTCATTAAGGGATCAGGCAGTTTCTGATTATTATACTTTGTTCTGGGTTTCAATTCCATTTCTACTCAGAATTATTTAAGCAAGTCAGTGGAACCCTCTTGAGAAATCAGGGGCTGTCACACCCTCTTCATCCTACAAAGTGTGCATAACACAGTCCCTGGTTTCCCTCTGTTGTCCACAGTGCAACCCCCATGTGGCCCTGTATGCCAGGCTGTGAGTTATTTGATTTCGAAATTGCTGTTAATGGCATCTGTACTCTCAGGTATCAGTTGTTTCCCCAACACTATAACCCTAAGGGGTGAATCCCACTCAGCAGTAGAAGGAAAAGAAGGGGATTAAAATACTTTAAGTTGTTGACCAGGCTTCAAGGCTCATGCTGTAATCCCAGCACTTTGGGAGGCTGAGGTGGGAGAATTGCTTGATGCCAGGAGTTTGAGATCAGCCTGGGCAAGTTAGCAAGACCCCATCTCTTAAAAGAAAGTGGTTGATGTTGCACATGTTAAGATCCCATCTCCGCAGAAGGCTGAGGCCTGGGAAAAAAGGGTTTGAAGTTTCCGTGAGCCATGGTCACACTACTCCCCTCCAGCTTGGGCGACCAAAGGAGAACCTAACTAAAAGAAACCAAAACTATAATTTGTGTTAAGGCTCAAAAGAGGCTGATGGTTGGGGGATGTCACATTGGGGTGGCCATGGCATGTGCCTGTGCTGTCTAAAGAATAATGTGTAAGGCTGGGTGTGGTGGCTCATGCCTATAATACCAGCACTTTGGGAGGCCGAGGCGGGTAGATCACCTGAGATCAGGAGGGTAGATCACCTGAGATCAGCCTAGCCAACATGGTGAAACCCTATTTCTACTAAAAATACAAAAATTAGCCAGGTGTGGTGGCAGGTGCCTGTAATCCCAGTTACTTGGGAGGCTGAGGCAGGAGAATCGCTTGAACCCGGGAGGTGGAGGTTGCAGTGAGCTGAGATCCCACCACTGTACTCCAGCTTGGGCAACAAGAGTGAGACTCTGTCTCGGAAAAAAAAGAAGGATGTGTATTTAGAGAGGGAGTGTGTCTGATGGACTCAGGCAACTGCATTGGGCTTTATGTGATCTCGGATATACCAGAGGCATTGGCTGTCAGGAGGGGGTGGACCCTTTTATGTTAAGAGCACAGCATAGCCAGGTGCGGTGGCTCATGCCTGTAATCCCAACACTTTGGGAGGCCGAGGCAGGTGGATCATGAGGTCAGGAATTCAAGACCAGCCTGGCCAAGATGGTGAAACCCTGTCTCTACTAAAAATACAAAAATGAGCCAGAAGTGGTGGTGGGTGCCTGTAATCCCAGCTACTCGGGAGACTGAGGCAGAGAATTGTTTGAACCCAGGAGGCAGAGGTTGCAGTGAGCCGAGGTCATGCCCCTGCACTCCAGCCTGGGTGACAGAGCAAGACTCCGTCTCAAAAAAAAAAAAAGCGCAGCATAGATCCCTCTTTTCCCCCTACTTCTTAATTGCTGATGGTTATACTGAGTGACCCGTGGGCTCACAAAGAGACAAAGGCACCAGTGGACTAGTCTCTCCTCTGTGCTGAGGATCTTGGGAGGAAGAGGGGCAAGGGGGTGGGGATATGGGACAGGTGGATTGTGGTACCTCAGCATAGGAACTGTTTGTGGTTTCATCTGTTACCATCATAGCAGGGCACTGTGGCATTTGAAGATGTGGCTGTGAACTTTTCCCAGGAAGAATGGAGTCTCCTTAGTGAGGTTCAGAGATGCCTTTACCATGATGTGATGCTGGAGAACTGGGTACTTATATCCTCCCTGGGTAAGTTCCTCACACCCTCCCCTATTTCTTGAATAAGTCTCTGCCCTTCCCCTTTTTTCCCATTGGCAAGACTGTTTTTATCATATCGGGACCCTGGGCACAGCTTCCTTCTCTACTTCTCTGGGTAGGTTTTGTGGTTCATAAGCCTGAGGTTTGTGTACTACCTTCTCTTCTTGAGCAGTCCCAATATCTGCTTTGCTGCAGACTCTCAGGGAAGGAGTCAGAGTCAGGTGTCTCGTAATCAGTCTAATGCATTTCACCTTGCTTGTCCCCTCGTTGCTGTTTGACTTGGTCCAGATCTGAGACTCCTGTGTGTCCAGGTTCTACTTCCTTCCTTTGGCTGACATTACTTGATGCCTGCCTGTGGCAGGAATTGCCATCACTCATATTGTCACTGCCTACATAGACCAAAGGCAAGACCCTCCTTAGAAATTCTGTTTTTAGTAATTAGTTTCCTTTCCTGTGTGTTGTCATGTTTAGAACCACTGTTGCTGAAAACTACCCAGCACATATTGGCAAGAGGAAGAGGATAGGGAATCCAGTGATGTGGCCTTTGTGACCAGCCAGCATTTCAGTTTAATCAGGCGCAAATGGCCTTCCTGGCTTATCAGTATTTGCTGCCACAGAGGCTAGTTGCCCCAGTTCTGCCCTATCTTTGCCTTAGTACTTATGTCATCCAGGTTCCATGTACTACATCGTCTTGGTGGTGGGATGGAGAGTCCTCAGTGCTCCAGAAGAGGCAACTGAATCCAGACTCAGCCTGATGTGCTGAGAGGGAACCTGTCGCTGAGGAGTGGCACCTGGTGGGAGGGCATGAGTTTGAGATTTTAGGCAAATCATATCAGAAACCTATTCTATTTGACTAATATTTTTGTGGCCAGTAGGCACTCACTATTTCTGTCTTTTCTTCTGCATTCTTGAGAGCCTCGAATTTGTCGGTCGTACACCTTGTCACTTGCACTCTGATATCCATCCCCCAATGAATCTTCAAGTCTCTGGACTCCACATCTCAACCATTTATTTTCTCATGTTTCCTTCCGAAGTGCTGTCCAATACTGGCATACACATTGTGTATTAGCAAGTGTATACAAATTGTTAAACTGTTCTGAGCAAGAGCTGTTGTCTTGTAATCATTTTCTTAGGCCTGGACATAGCCTTCTAGATGGCATTAACATGTCATCAAATAATTTCCTGCAGACAAGTGGTTTGCAAAGGAAAGAGTTGTACACCAGGCACATTGGCTTACACCTGTAATCCTAGCACTTTAGGAGGCCGATGTGGACGGATTTCTTGAACCCAGGAGTTTGAGACCAGCCTGGGCAACAAGGCGAAACCCTACCTCAACAAAAAGTAGCTGGGCATATTGGCATGTGCCTGTTGTCCCAGCTACTGTGGAGGCTGAGGTGGGAGGATCACCTGAGCCCAGGAGACAGAGATTATCCCACTGTACTCCATGCTGGATCACAGAGTGAGACCCTGTCTCTCAAGAAGCAAAAAAAAAAAAAAAAAAGAATTGTAGACCCTGGCTCAGTTCTCTGTGTTCATGTATGCTTATGCCCTTCATATCATGGTGCCTACATTCTGTGACCTTTATAGCCCGTTAATGATAGCCTCATCTTCCATGTGAAGCCAACATTCATTCTGTTCCTGCAAATATTTCCATGGAGTAATTCCTCGGTTTGTCAGACACGCTTGTGGGTGGGCTGTGCCTTCCCACCAGAGTTAACTTGAACTCATCAGCATTTTCTTGCTTTCAGGTTATTGGTGTGGATCGGAAGATGAGGAGGCACCTTCTAAGCGGAACATTTCTATACAAAGAGTGTCTCAGGTCAACACTCCTAGGGTAGGTGTGTCTCCCAAGAAGGCCCACTCTTGTGAAATGTGTGGTGCAATCTTGAGAGACATTTTGTACTTGGCAGATCATCAGGGGACACATCACAAGCAGAAACTGCACAGGTGTGAGGCCTGGGGGAGTAAATTGTATGATAGTTCAAACTATCAGCACCAGAATCAGTACCTTGGAGAGAAACCCTACAGAGGCAGGGTTGAGGAAGTGTTGTTTGTGAAGAGGTGTAAGTTCCATGTGTCAGAGGAGTCATCTGTCTTCATTCAGAGTGGGAAGGACTTTTTGCCCAGCTCAGGATTACTGCAGCAGGAGGCCACTCACACTGGGGAGAAGTCAAACAGCAAACCTGAGTGTGAGTCTCCCTTTCAGGGGGGAAATACTCATTACAGCTCTGGAGAATGCATGAAACATTCTGGCACCAAACACATGCTTGTTCAACAGCAGAGACTTCTCCCTAGAGAAGAATGTTATTGCTGCGAATGTGGGAAATCCTTTATCAAATATGATAGCTTCAGTAATCATCAGAGAGTTCATACTGGGAAAAGACCTTATGAATGTGGAGAATGTGGGAAATCTTTTAGTCATAAGGGCAGCCTTGTTCAGCATCAACGAGTTCATACTGGAGAAAGACCTTATGAGTGTGGAGAATGTGGGAAATCTTTTAGTCAAAATGGTACCCTCATTAAACATCAACGAGTTCACACTGGAGAAAGACCTTATGAGTGTGAAGAATGTGGGAAATGTTTTACTCAAAAGGGCAATCTGATTCAACATCAACGAGGTCACACTAGTGAAAGACCTTATGAGTGTGAAGAATGTGGAAAATGTTTTAGTCAAAAGGGCACCCTCACTGAACATCATCGAGTTCACACTAGAGAAAGACCTTATGAGTGTGGAGAATGTGGGAAATCTTTTAGTCGAAAGGGACACCTTAGGAACCATCAGCGAGGTCACACTGGAGAAAGACCTTATGAGTGTGGAGAATGTGGGAAGTCTTTTAGTCGAAAGGGCAACCTCATTCAGCATCAGCGAAGCCACACTGGAGAAAGGCCTTACGAGTGTAGAGAATGTAGGAAATTATTTAGGGGCAAGTCCCACCTCATTGAACACCAGAGAGTTCACACTGGAGAAAGGCCATATGAATGTAATGAATGTGGGAAATCATTTCTAGACAGCTCTGGGTTTCGTGTTCATCAGAGAGTTCACACTGGAGAAAAACCGTTTGAGTGCAGTGAATGTGGGAAATCATTTCCTCAAAGCTGTTCCCTTCTTCGACATAGGAGAGTTCATACTGGAGAAAGGCCTTATGAGTGTGGAGAATGTGGAAAGTCATTTCATCAGAGCTCTTCCCTCCTTCGACATCAGAAAATTCACACTGCAGAAAGACCTTATGAGTGCAGAGAATGTGGGAAATTCTTCTCCAGTCTCCTTGAACACAGGAGAGTTCACACTGGAGAAAGGCCTTATGAATGCAGTGAATGTGGAAAAACATTTACTCGAAGATCTGCGCATTTTAAACATCAGAGACTTCATACTCGAGGAAAGCCTTATGAGTGCAGTGAATGTGGGAAATCCTTTGCTGAAACGTTCAGTCTTACTGAACACAGAAGAGTTCACACTGGAGAAAGGCCTTATGAGTGCAGTGAATGTGGAAAATCATTTCATCGAAGCTCTTCTCTCCTTCGACATCAGAGAGTTCACACAGAAAAAAGTCCTTACAAGTGAAAGAAATTTGGGAAATTCTTTAGCTAAATCTCTGTGCATCCTCTTGATCAGAGAGTTCTTACTGGATCGGGACCTTATGAGTGTGACAAACGTGGGATATTCTTTACGCAGAAGTCTTGCTTTATTACACACGGAAGAGCTTCCACTGCTGAAGTGCCTCTTGAGTGCGATGAATGTGAGAAAGCCTTCCGCCTTCTCTCATTGGGTAACAGATTGTTCTCTTAAGGAAAACACTGTACACATACAGGAAATATTATTTCTTGTAAAACATAACACTGGAGGAGATGCCTTATGAGGGAGCCATCTGCCTAAATTGAATGACATACATCCAGCATCTGCATAAACTCGATTATGTTAGAGCTGCATGGCATTTTTCACCCTGCCGTGTTCCCTTGCCAGACTTAAGTGATGGCCAGTTATCTGGCAACCATTCTATGTCGGCCACGAGGCAGGTGTTCACCGTGCATCTTTCACTCACCCCATGATGTTCCGGAAGTAAACCTTGGTTGTCTTTCATTGGCCAGAAGAATTGGTGAGTAATCTCAGCTGTCATTCCTTTCTCATTTATTTCTGATGAGTGAGACCATGGATCTGTCTCAGTACTGGACCGGAGGAGTCTTCTGTCAGCTTGAAAAGATGGACTACCTTTTTCAGGGACCTTATGGGTCTCATGTGATTCTTTAAGTGGAATTTTTCCGCCTCTTAAGTTCCAACCAAAGAACATTCTGCCTCCCATTGCTCTGATTTGTGCAATGACTAAGGCCTTATTGTTTAAGCTTCCTTCAATCTTGAGAGTTATATTTACTCTTTGGGGTGGTTCCGAAACAACTGGGTTCTGATGTCCTAAAGGGGCAAACAACTTTTGTTGGGATCACTGAACTTGGAGTGCCCCAGAGGGGACAGTATGATGACAGAATATACTGTCTCTTCACTTGTGGCATAGTTTTCATTGCTGCCTAAGGCCTCCAAAGACTCCAGAACTTTATGGTCCTTATTTGTTGACTAGATACTCCAATAATTTCTGGGTTTATAGATCAACCTGAGAAGGGAACAGTGTTTGTGACTTCCTTTGGTGCTTCTGAGATCAACATGAGATTTTTCTCTCTTTTACAAGGGATATTGCATTCTGCTCAGTACTGCTGAGGGAAATCTGTTTTCTAGATCCTGCAATGCAGCCATGTGCCCTCATATCCAGAGTTTCATAGGGTGGTGTCCCAGGTTATGAGATTATAACAGGAAATCATAATTTATAGAATTTCTGCATTTATAGGCAGTGGAGGACACTGCAAGAACAGAGTTGGAATGCACGTCATTCAAATGGACATCCACATTGATGCAGTTACTATGTGTGTGGTGGACCTTCAGGTACAGAAATTCTCAGAACCTCCGTAATTATGAATCTTGTGTAGCTGAGGCCATTGTCAAAGGAAATAATATAAAGGATTTGTGGATTCCTGTACCTTTTCTTGGCTGTTCACCTCAGGGCCATGCCTGCACTGGCAGGAGGAAGAGGATAGGGAGAAGGGAGATCTCTTAGTCCAGTGATGTGGTCTTTGTGACCAACCAGTGTTCCAGTCTAATCAGGTGAAAATGGCCTTCCTGGCTCAATCAGTATTTGCTACCGCAGAGACTCATTGCCACACTTGGGACATGAGGAGATTTTGTATAGTTGTCAAGCATTTTTGTCAAAAATAATAGAAAATCCATGTTTTTCTTTTTTTTTTTATTTTCTAAGACAAGGTGTTGCTCTGTGACCCAGGCTGGAGTACAGTGGCGAGATCATAGTTCGCTGCAGCCTCGAACTCTTCAAGCAATCCTTCTCCCTCAGCCTCCCAAAGTGTTGGGATTACAGGCCTGAGCCATCACGTCCAGCCCACATTTTTCTTTTGAACCAATTCTTTAAAGCCATAATAAGGAATAAATGGCATTCAGTAAACTATACATATTTAAACTGTACCATGTGATAAGTTTAGACTTACGTAGAAACCCATGAAAGTGGCCGGGCGCAGTGGCTCACGCCTGTAATCCCCATACTTTGGGAGCCCGAGGCGGGTGGATCACAAGGTCAGAAAATCGAGACCATCCTGGCTAACATGGTGAAACCCCGTCTCTACTAAAAATATAAAAAAAATGGATGGGCGTGGTGCCTCACGCCTGTAATCCCAGCACTTTGGGAGGCCAAGGCAGGTGGATCACGAGGTCAGGAGATCGAGACCATCCTGGCTAACAAGGTGAAACCTCGTCTCTACTAAAAAATACAAAAAATAGCCGGGCATGGTGGTGGGTGCCTGTAGTCCCAGCTACTCGGGATTCTGAGGCAGGAGAATGGCGTGAACCCGGGAGGCAGAGCTTGCAGTGAGCTGAGATCATGCAACTGCACTCCAGCCTGGGTGACAGAGAGAGACTCCATCTCAAAAAAACAAAAAAACAAAAAAGAAAGAAACCCTTGGAAGTATAATTTATCCATCGCCTTCGTATTTACCTGGAGCCTATTGTTTTTTATTTACTTTTTGGAGTCAGAGTCTCACTCTGTTACCTGACTGGAGTGCAGCGACATCATCATAGCTCACTGTAATCTGAAATTCCTGGGCTCAGGCAGTCCTCCCACCTCAGTCTTCGTAGTAGCTGCAATCATAGGCTTGAGCCACCATGCCTACTTTGTTTTGTTTTGTTTTGTTTTTGAGACAGACTCTCACTCTGTCGCCCAGCTTGGAGTGAAGTGGCGTGACCTCGGCTCACTGCAACCTCCACCTCCTGGCTTCAAGCGATTCTCCTGCCTCAGCCTCCAGAGTAGCTGGGACTTCAGGTATGCACAACCATGCCCGGCTAGTGTTTGTATTTTTAGTAGATACGGAGTTTCAACATGTTGTCCAGGCTGGTCTCGAACTCCTGACCTCAAGTGATCCACCTGTCTTGGCCTCCCAAAGTGCAGATTACAGGTGTGAGCCACTGCACCCGGCATTACTGTTATTATTTTTTAAAGCGATGAAGCCTCCCTATGTTGTCCTACCTAGAGCCTTGTCACCCAGGCTGGAATACAGTGTCGCCATCTCGGCTTACTGCAACCTCCATCTCCTGGGTTCAACAAATTCTCCCACCTCAGCCTCCCTATTAGCTAGGATTACAAGCATGTACCATCACACCTGGCTAATTTTTTTTGTATTTTTATTAGAGACAGTATTACCCTGTTGGTCAGGCTGGTCTCGAACTCCTGACCTCAAGTGATCCGCCTGTCTTGCCCTCCCAAAGTTCTGGGATTACAGGTGTGAGCCACTGTGCATGGCTGAGCCTTTTAATAGGATGTTCCTCTCTGCTCTTCAGACCACTATTGATTTAGTATGCTTTAAAACAGATTAGTTTGTGTTTTCTGGAATTTTATATGAATGATATCTTAAACTATTTCCTCTTCTCATTTTTGGGTTCTCTACTGTGTCATTTATTTTGCTATTAGTGATGATATATGACTAATTCATTCCTTTTATATTCCTGAGAAGTATGACATGGTGTGAAACATCAGTGTGTGCATATTAATCCATCTGTTTATGTTTGATTTGCTTCTCACTTTTGTCTGTTATAAATAATACTGATACAGACATTTAAATATAATTCTTCATATCCATATATTTTACTCCTCTTATGTTAATATCTCCATGTGCAGTGCCTGAGTCACATGGTAGGTAAAACTTTTTAAGAAATATCAGGCTGGGCGTGGTGGCTTAGCTGGGCGCGGTGGCTTATGCCTATAATCCCAGCACTTTGGGAGGCGGAGGGGGACAGATCACCTGAGGTTGAGAGTTTGAGACCAGCCTGACCAACATGGAGAAACCCCATCTTTACTAAAAATACAAATTAGTCGGGTGCGGTGGCGCATGCCTGTAATCCCAGCTATTTGGGAGGCTGAGACAGTTGAAACTGGGAGGCAGAAGTTGCAGTGGGCTGAGTCACACCGTTGCACTCCAGCCTGGGCAACAAGAGTTAAACTCCGTCTCAAAAAAAAAAAAAAAAAAAAAAAAAAGGCCGGGTGTGGTGGTTCACGCCTTTAATCCCAGCACTTTGGGAGGCTGAGGCAGGCAGATCATGAGGTCAGGAGATCAAGACCGTCCTGGCTAACACGGTGAAAACCCGTCTCTACTAAATATACAAAAAGTTAGCCGGGTGAGGTGGCAGGCGCCTGTGGTCCCAGCTACTCCAAAGGCTGAGGCAGGAGAATGGCATGAACCCGGGAGGCAGAGCTTGCAGTGATCCCAGATCGTGCCACTGCACTCCAGCCTAGGCTACAGAGCAGGACTCCGTCTCAAAAAAAAAGAAAAGTACCACCAAACTGGCCTGGGCATGGTGGCTCATGCCTGTAATCCCAGCACTTTGGGAGGCTGAGGCAGGTGGATTACCTGAGGTCAGGAATTCGAGACCAGCCTGGCCAACATGGTGAAACCCCATCTCTACTAAAAATAAAAAATTAGCCGAGTATGGTGGCACGCATCTGTAGTCCCAAGTACTCGGGAAGCTGAGGCAAGAGAATTTCTTAAACCCAGGAGACGGAGGTTGCAGTGAGCTGAGATCGCATCACTGCACTCCAGCCTGGGCAACAAGAGCGAAACTCTGAAAATATTTAAAAAAAGATACCAAACTGACCTAAATTAAAATGATTACTTCCTTTTGTATTCCTACCACCAGTGTCTGAGAATTCTTACAGAGAGAGTATGGTTAGCCTTTTAAATTTTCATTTTTTAGGCCAGGTGTGGTGGCTTACGCCTGTAATCCCAGCACTTTGGGAGGCCAAGGGGGTTGAATCATGAGGTCAGGAGATCGAGACGATCCTCATGGTGGAACCCCATCTCTACTAAAAATACAAAAAAAAAAAAAATGGCCGGGCGTGGTGGCTGGCGCCTGTAGTCCCAGCTACTCTGAAGGCTGAGGCAGGAGAATGGCGTGAACCCAGGAGGTGGCGCTTGCAGTGAGCCAGTATTGCACCACTGCACTCAATCCCGGGCGACAGAGCGAGACTCCGTCTCAAAAAAAAAAAAAAAAAATTCATTTTTTAAATACATGGTTATTTCTTTTTAGGTAAAGTGTCTCTTCATGTCTGTTACTTCACAAAAATGAACTTTGTGAAAAAAATTCACAAAAATGAATTTTGTTTATTTTCCATTACATTAAGAAATAAGAAAATAGGCCAGGCGCGGTGGGTCATGCTTGTAATCCCAGCACTTTGGGAGGGCAAGGCGACAGATCACCTGAGGTCAGGAGTTTGAAACCAGCCTGACCAACATGGAGAAACCCTGTCTCTACTAAAAATACAAAATTAGCTGGGCGGGGTGGTGCCTGCCTGTAATCCCAGCTACTGGGGAGACTGAGGCAGGAGAATCGCTTGAACCTGGGAGGCAGGGTTGCGGTGAGCCAAGATTGTGCCATTGCACTCTAGCCTGGGCAACAAGAGCGAAACTCAAGAGAAAAAAAATGGTGGAATGTGCTGGTGTGCTCCTGTAGTCCTAGTTACTCAGGAGGCTGCAGTTGGAAGATCACGTGAACCTGGGAAATCAAGGCTGCTCTAAGCTATGATCACACCACTGTACTCCAGCCTGGGTGACAGAACAAGACCTTGTCTGAAAAAAATAAAAAAATTATGCTGGGCGCGGTGGCTCATGCCTGTAATCCCAGCACTTTGGGAGGCCAAGGCAGGCAGATCACCTGAGGTCAGGAATTCAAGACTAGCCTGGCCAACGTGGAACCCCTCTCTACTAAAAATACAAAAATTAGCAGGACATGGTTGTGGGCACCTGTAATCCAAGCTACTTGGGAGGCTGAGGCAGGAGAATCGCTTGAACCCAGGAGGTAGAAGTTGCAGTGAGCCAAGATCATCCCATTGCACTCCGTGTAATCCAAGCTACTTGGGAGGCTGAGGCAGGAGAATCGCTTGAACCCAGGAGGTAGAAGTTGCAGTGAGCCAAGATCATCCCATTGCACTCCTACTTCAAAAAAAAAAAAAAAAATATATATATATATATATAGTATCCTTTGACATAAATGGATTAAGTAAGTCTGTCACTAAATAGAAAAATACTCCCGTCTGCAATGAATTAGAAAGTTGCTTATGGTTCTTTTTTTTTTTTGAGACGGAGTCTCCATTCGTCTGCCCAGGCTGGAGTGGCACAATCTCAGCTCACTGCAACCTCCGCCTCCAGGGTTCAAGGGATTCTCCTGCCTCAGCCTCCCAAGTAGCTGGGATTACAGGCATGCACCACTATACCTGGCTAATTTTTGTACTTTTAGTAGAGACAGGGTTTTACCATTGTTGTTCAAGCTGGTCTTGAACTCCTGACCTTGTGATCCACCCACCTCAGCCTCCCAAAGTGCTGGGATATCAGGCATGGAGCATGGTGCCTGGCCTTTTTTTTTTTTTTTTTTTTTTTTTTAAAGGCAGTCTCACTGTGTTGCCCAGGTTGGTACACAGTGTGACACAATCACAATTCACTTCTGCCTTGACCTGCTGGACTCAAGCTGTCCTCCCACCTCTTGCCTCCCAACTTGCTAGGATAGGCATGTGCCACCACGCTCAGCTAATTTTAAAATTTTTTCTGTAGAGATTAGGTCTCACCATGTTGCCCAGGCTGCTCTCAAAACTCCTGGGCTCAAGGGATTTTCCACCCTTGGCCTCCCAAAATGCTAAGATTACAGGTTGAGCCACTGTCTGGCATGCTTTTGGTTTTTATCTTGAAATTTAACACAGTGCTGTCCCATGTATTTAAGTATCAAACTATAACTGAATTTTCTTTCTTTTCAAGGATCTCAAGGGCATTTCCCTTTGCCCACCTCACCTTTTCATATTTGGCAAACTATATGCATTTGCCTCCAGCCCAAGATTATAGATATGAACTGATTATGGATCTGCATGTTCTGTCATTGGATTCAAGCATATTCTTACAGAAGAGCCACCGTGGAAGTCGTGGGTAAATATGTGTTGGATTGGTAACTCCCTCTTGGAGAATTTCTTGTGAATTACACAGCAATAGAGGAACTCATTTAACTGGAGATACAATCTGAATTTATAAAGTGTGGCCCATTTTCTAACATTTTTATTTTACATACCCTCCTGTGTCTTCTGGGTTGATGAAACTAACGAAGAGATTAATAAAAACTCATCATGTCATGTACAGGGACTCATGCCTTTAATTCCAGCATTTTGGGAGACTAAGGCAAGAACATCCTTGAGGCCAGGAGTTCGAGACTGTATAACAGATACATCTGACAGTAATAACTCAAGCACACCTTAAGAATGACCCTGTGGTCTAAGAAGAGTGTTGGTTCAACGTTCCAAACGAAGGAATCTGGGAGTGGCCAACCCAGAGGTTTCTGAACCCCTGGCCTGTTCCTTTCAATGAGGCCCTTTGTTTTGAGCTGGGTGGAGGGTGATAAGTGAAAATACTGTATGCACTGCATGCTTCTTACAAATGATAGTGGTTTTCTTGTCCAGCCTGCTGTTCCTGGACTACCCTGTATCTAAGTCCTCAATAAGCCCAGTGTCTCGTTTTCTTTTTTCTTTTTTGCGGTGGAGTTTCGCTCTTGCTGCCCAGGCTGGAGTGCAATGGCATGATCTCGGCTCACCACAGCCTCCACCTCCCGGTGCAAGCGATTCTCCTGCCTCAGCCTCCCAAGTAGCTGGGATTACAGGCATGTGCCTCTACACCCGGCTAATTTGTATTTTTAGTAGAGGTGGGGTTTCTCCATTTTGGTCAGGGTGGTCTCGAACTCCCAACCTCAGGTGATCCGCGTGCCTCAGGCTCCCAAAGTGCTGGGACTACAGGCATGAGCCACCACGCCTGGCCCTATGTCTCAGTTCTAGCTCTGGCTCTCATTCACTTCTTGTACATGGTGCCATCCTTATTGGAGTCAATAGGGTAGGGATCAAGCATGATAGAGACCAGCTGGGCAACACAGCACCTGTCTCTATCAAAACAGCTGGGCATGGTGGCACATGCTTATAGTTCTAGCTGTGTGGGAGACTGTGGCAGGAGGATCATTTGAGCCCAGGGATTTGAGGTTACAGCGGGCTGTGATTGCCCCACTGCACTCTAGCCTAGGCAGCAGAGCAAGACCCTGTCTCTCACCTGGCGAAATTAGCAGAGGCTTTTCATATTACTTTGCTGAAGGCTCTTAAATTGGTTTTGCTTAACCTATAAACAACTCCCTTCAGAAAGTAAGTATTCCCTTGTGAGAAAATTACCTATCATCCCATGAGGTTGGATGGAGGATTGTATGAACCAACTTAATTCATGACCAGGCATGGTGACTCACGCCTGTAATCCCAGCACTTTGGTAGGCCGAGGTGGGCGGATTGCCTGAGGTCAGGAGTTCCATACCAGCCTTGCCAACATGGTGAAACCTCATCTTTTCTAAAAATCCAAAAAGTAGCTGGGCGTGGTGGCAGGCACCTGTAATCCCAGCTACTCTCGAGGCTGAGGCAGGAGAATCTCTTTGTTTTGTTTTGTTTTGTTTTGAGACATAGTCTGTCACCCAGGCTGGAATGCAGTGCAACCTTCACTCACTGCAACCTCTGACTCCCGGGTTCAAGTGATTCTCTTGCCTCAGCCTCCCAAGTAGCTGGGATTACAGGCATGCGCCACCATGCCCGGCTAATTTTTGTATTTTTAGTAGAGACAGGGTTTCACCATGTTGGCCAGGCTGGTCTTGAACCTCTGACCTCAGGTGAGCCACTTGCCTCAACCTCCCAAAGTGCTGGAATTACAGGCATGAGCCACTGCACCTGGCAGGAGAATCACTTGAACCTGGGAGGTGGAGGTTGCAGTAAGCTGAGATCGCGCCACTGCACTCCAACGTGGGCGACAGAGACTGTCTCAAAAAAAAAAAAAAAGGAAGAAGAAGAACCTCATTTTGAAGCCAAAACCATCAGACTGACCATTCCAATTATGTGCTGAGCATAATTTCATCTCTTGGACATGGGTGCTAACATTTCTCTGAGGTCCTAAGTTTTTTCACCATCTACTGATGCTTCCATAGACCCACTTCTGTCAAAACTGTTTGATAATTACCTAGTCAGTGTTTTCTTGTTTTTTTTTTTTTTTTTTTGAGACGGAGTCTCGCTCTGTCACCCAGGCCGGAGTGCAGTGGCCGGATCTCAGCTCACTGCAAGCTCTGCCTCCCGGGTTCACGCCATTCTCCTGCCTCAGCCTGTTTTATTGTTTTTTGCTTTTTGTATTTTTTTTGGCGGTAGGGGAGACGGAGTCTCGCTCTGTTGCCCAGGCTTTAGTGCAGTGGTGCAATCTAGGCTCACTACAACCTCTGCCTCCCGGGTTCAAGCAGTTCTTTTGTCTCAGCCTCCCAAGTAGCTGGGACGACAGGCACGTGCCACTATGCCCGGCTAATTTTTTTTTTTTTTTTTTTTGAGACGCCCAGGCTGGAGTGCAGTGGCGCCATCTCTGCTCACTGCAAGCTCCTCCTCCTGGGTACACGTGTTTCTCCTGCCTCAGCCTCCCGAGTATCTGGGACTACAGGCACCCGTCACCATGCCCGGCTAATTTTTTTTTGTTTTTAGTAGAGACAGGTTTCACCGTGTTAGCCAGGATGGTCTCAATCTCCTGATCTCGTGATCCGCCCACTTCGGCCTCCCAAAGTGCTGGGATTACAGGCGTGAGCCACTGTGCCCGGCCTAATTTTTGTATTTTTAGTAGAGACTGGGTGTCACCATATTGGCCAGGCTGGTCTTGAACTTCTGATCTGGTGATCCGCCTACCTTGGCCTCCCAAAGTGCTGGGATTACAGGCGTGAGCCACTGTGCCCGGTCTACCTGGTCAGTATTAATAGGCTTTTGTATCTTGCAATTTACAACTCTTTCTTTCATGTAATACTAATTTTTCATGCAGAACACTCCCTACTCTCAAGATAAATCAATGATAATCACTTCCCATCAATGACATGAACACATGGCTTTAACAAACGCCCAGTATAACCAGATGGAGAGCACCACCTTTAAGGACTGTTTGAAATGCTTGTTCCTTGGTGCCATAAAGAAATAGCACTTGAGCATTAATTTCCTCAGCAAGGCCATTTTTACTTTCTGGAGAAACGGTACACTCGCTGGCAGTTTTGCTATGAGAGTACACTGAACAAAGAAGACAGGATCATTTATAACCTGATGCATCCACCTTATTGCTATGTCCGGTTTCCATTGACTGAATACAAATTCACATTCTGTATTTGTCCTGATTGGCTAGCAACTTAGAACTTTTTTAAAAGAGTCAAAGGCAGAGGAAAACAAAGGAAGGAGGAATTAACTTGTGGAATGCTAAGAAAGGCAAATAAGGAAGAGGAAATTTCAAATAAGGAAGAGGAACAGGATATGACTTAATGCTTCCTTGGACCAGTGTAAGCATGCCAGGGCAAATACTTAGGCTAAATTGTGGAAGCTAAGAACATAAAGTACATAGATTTTTTTTTATCACAGCTAGCAGATACCTAAGAATGTTAAAACAGGTATTTGAACAAATTTTGCTTCTAAAAGAAGTTACCATTTATTCCTAATTAGATGGGGAGGAAAGTCTTTGAAGAGGAACCTCTACTTTACTTTTTACAGACTGTAGCCATCACCACTACCAAGATACCATTTCTTTTATTGTTTTTTGTTTGTTTGTTTGAGAGAGAGAGTTTCGCTCTGTCGCCAGGCTGCAGTGCAATGGCATGATCTCGGCTCACAGCAACCTCTGCCTCCCAGGTTCAAGCGATTCTCCTGTCTCTGCCTCCTGAGTAGCTGGGACTACAGGCGCATGCAACCACACCTGGCTAATTTTTTTTTTTTTTTTTTTTTGTATTGTTAGTAGAGACGGGGTTTCACCGTGTTAGCCAGGATGGTCTGGATCTCCTGACCTGGTGATCCACCTGCCTCGGCCTCCCAAAGTGCGGGGATTACAGGCGTGAAGCCACCGTGCCCAGTGTTATTGTTCTTTATGAGACTAACGTCATGTGGTTGCTCACGCCTGTAATCCCAACACTTTGGGAGGCCGAGGTGGGCGAATCACGAGGTGAGATCGAGATCATCCTGGCTAACACAGTGAAACCCCGTCTCTACTGAAAATACAAAACATTAGCCGGGCGTGGTAGTGAGCGCCTATAGTCTCAGCTACTCGGGAGGCTGAGGCAGGAGAATGACGTGAACCTGGGAGGCGGAGGTTGCAGTGAGCCGAGATTGCACCATTTCACTCCAGCCTGGGTGACAGAGCGAGACTCCCTCTCAAAAAAAAAAAAAAAGATGTCAAATTACTAAAAGTAGTTGAATATAAGAATGTCAAGTAAAGGATACTAAGTGGGAAAAAGTGTTGTTCAATTAATTGAATGCTACAATGATTTGTGAACCCCCCAAATTTGAGGCAGGTCTCAGTTAATTTTAAAAGTTTATTTTGTCGGCCAGGCGCTGTGGCTCACGCCTGTAATCCCAACACTTTGGAGGGCAAGGCAGGCGGATCAAGAGGTCAGGAGAGCAAGACCATCCTGGCCAACAAGGTGAAACCCCATCTCTACTAAAAGTACAAGAATTAGCTGGGCATGGTGCCACGTGCCTGTACTCCCAGCTACTCGGGAGGCTAAGGCAGGAGAATCACTTGAACCCTGGAGGCGGAGGTTGCAGTGAGCCAAGATCACACCACTGCACTCCTACCTGGCCAAAGAGCGAGACTGCGTCTCAAAAAAAAAAGTTGGCTGGGCGCAGTGGCTCACGCCTGTAATCCCAGCACTTTGGGCGGCTGAGGTGGAGGGGATCACAAGGTCAGGAGTTTGAGACCAGCCTGACCAACATGGTGAAACCCCATCTCTACTAAGAATACAAAAACTAGCCGGGCGTGGTGGCGCGCACCTGTAATCCCAGCTACTCAGGAGGCTGAGGCAGGAGAATTTCTTGAATTCAAAAGGCACAGGTTGCAGTGAGCCGATATTGCACCACTGTACTCCGGCCTGAGCGACAGAGCAAGACTGTCAAAAAAAAAAAAAAAAAAAAAAGTTTATTTTGCCAAGGTTGAGGACGCATGCCTGTGACACAGCCTCAGGAAGTCCTGACGACATGTGCCCAAGGTGGTTGGGGTACAGGTTGGTTTTATACCTTTTAGGGAGACATGAGACATCAGTGAATATATGTAAGAAGTA